GGAATTTATGGGAGTATTGTTTGTACCATACTTGACCAATCCCGAAACTCCCGAGCAACGGTCAACGTCATACCTTTAAGGACCCACTGAGGGGTTCATGCTGAGGCACCTCTACCGAAGCACAAAAGTTTCTCTCCAACCAGGAAGCCAATCACAACGCGGCACATGTCAACATCAGAATAAAGCTCATAGAGTTCCACATCAACCACAGACAAAAGCTAAAGACTCTCCTCAACTATAAAAGGAGACCATTCTCCTACAATTAATCCCTAATGTCATTATTGTACTTAAACTAATCATTAGGACTCACTAATGATGATTATGCTTGAACCTATGTATTGTGTAAACCCTTCATTATTAATGAGAACTCCTTTACTTCTCCGTGGACGTAGCCAAACTTAGGATGAACCACGTACATCTTGTGTTTGCTTCCCTATCTTTATCTCTTTACATATTATCCTCACTAGGTGACAGGAGCAATCGAGCGAAGGTTACAAACTTGACACTTTACGTTGTTTCCAAAGTCTCACTGATTTTGTGCATCAACAATATGTGTAAATTATCTGAGTTGAATCGCTTGTAGTTCTCTTATTTGGAAGTTATGTCTAACTTAGGGGGAGTATCTAAAAGTATACTCAATTGATCTTAATGTACTCTTTTTCCTACGATTAGGAGCATTTTTCCCACTGGGTTTTTGCTACCTAACAAGGTTTTAATGAGGCACCTATCCTGGGATGATCATACTTTGTTGAGTTCACTACTTTCATCATATTTGACATTTTTTTTAGACATTATGCATACTTTTCAATTTTTTCCTTAGTCTATGGGTTTTCCCCATACCTTGGGTTTTACCATAGCAAGGTTTTGTGAGTTTTACTACCAATGCATATTTTATTTAAATTTGAGACTCGTGTTCACCCATTGTGTTGATGACTTCATCAACTATTCTACCTTATCTGCTGAAGATCTGATGTGATGGTTTGTTGAGTATTTACACACTCAAGGGGGAGTGTTGCAGTCATATTTAGAATACGAATGTGATTGTGTAAATCCTAGTAGATCTAGGAATATCTCTTATATTCCTATTAGGAGTTGATTACCTATTAAGAGTTGTAATCCTAAAAGAGTAAGGTTTTTGCCTATCCTACTACTATAAATAAAGGCACAATAAGGGTGATACAAACACACCTCACAATTCAATCACTCTCTCTTCCCTCTTGCTACCGCCGGCCCCTCCTCTCTCTAATCCCTTAGATTAGTTCAATCAAAGAGGCCTACAACATGATGATTAAAACTAGCCCCCTTTTTCCTTTTTTAAATTATTTTGTATATAATTAAATTTTTTGTTTGCCACGTTATAAAAAATGTGGGTCTTAAATTTGTCACTTTATCATTTAATGATAAAATTGACATAAAATTTAATGGATGCATGACTTTGAAATAAAAAATAAGTGACTAGATGAGATTGAAATGTTTTAAAGATGTATGAGGTTGCAATTGCACCCAAATTTAAGGATGCGAAATAAGTACAATAATCCACAGATATAGGGCTTTCTTGAAGACTAAATGTTATATTTTTCCTAATGCACCGGAGAGAAATTGAGTCAATTTGAAGTTAAAAGTTACATTTGACTTCAACTTTTCACGTGCATTGAAGATAGCCTGGAACCTTTTTTTTTTCTCCAAACATCAATTTTAATTTAGCTAATGTCTTCTCAAATATTAATTTGCCATATTTTTTTCTTAATTGCGTCATGTGTAAGTCTCATAATCAACCTTCGGGGGATATACACATCGCGCTTGCACGAAGTTGGAGAAATTGCTTTTTGTCTTTTTGAGGGGTTCCAACTGTCAGAACCATGGGTTTTGAGGCGAGTCGTTTCTCCAAAGGTAGCAAGCACTGCTACTTCTTCTAGGCGTGTGCAAGTGTTCAATGAGGGACTTGCATCACTAACTTACCCAAACAGGACAAAGATTGTTGATGGAGAATGGGAAGGAAAAACCTTCCAAGTCTGGGCCTCAGGCAATGCTCCTAACAGCTAATCTCGACCCGATCTGGATTGAGGCGAAGCTAGTGAAGAAAGGGCCGCGATCTTTTAAGGAGCCCAAGATGATGATGAAGAAGAAGAACAATAAGTCTGGTGAACCAACTTCGAAGAAATGGTGCCACACAAAAGGAAGTCTACTGATGAAGGTTAACAAGATCATTCGATCACTTTTAGGTCATTTCCGGCCACTTTTGGGATTCCTAGTAGGCAAATTCTAGTTTCATACCTCTCTATCTTAATTCTGACATAAAAATCGTGAAAAATGGTTGAGAAATGAGTTTTTCTGACCTTGAGAAGTTTCCAATAAAAAAACCCAGAAGTCCCGGCGAAATGGACGTCAGCGCCGGCGATCGAAAAAGGTAGAAACGATAGAATATTCTGCCATGGTTACAAAATATTCTCTAATCCGTCAACATATTCCATTGACGGCAGGTAGATTTGCCCTGCTATCCGCCTAACATATTCCCTTCTGGTTTAATTGTAACTTGTGTTTGTTTGTGTGACCTTGCTTTTAAATGATTGGCTTTGTATTTTATGGGTTTAAGTTCTGTCACCACCGATCTATTGTGATAGATTTGCACTCTTCATTCCATCGAGTTGACACCCTTCTTGTAATCACGTTGTAATTATGTTGTAGTCGTGTTTTCTATCAATTAATTATTACTATCTTTTTGGTTGAATTAAAAGTTGAAATCGAATCAAATTTAGAGTCAAATATAACTTCGACTCCAAAATTTCTGGTGCACTAAGATCATATATAACCCTTGGGTTAAAACTTAAAATTTTTAATTTAGAAAATTTAGATTTTAATCCTGAAACAGTTTTTCTGCTCCAATCCTTTCTAGGTTAAATTTTTAGCCCAAGATTAGTAAAAAAAATGAATTTAGGATTTTTTTTTCTTAACGTAACTTTATACAACAATAACAAAACATTTTCCCACTAAGTGGGGTCGGCTATATGAATCCTAGAACGCCATTGCGCTCGGTTCTGTGTCATGTCCTCCGTTAGATCCAAGTACTCTAAGTCTTTTCTTAAAGTCTCTTCCAAAGTTTTCCTAAGTCTTCCTCTACCTCTTCGAGCCTGGACCTCTGTCCCGTAGTCACATCTTCTAACCGGAGCGTCAGTAGTCCTTCTTTGCACATGTCCAAACCACCGTAACCGATTTTCTCTCATCTTTCCTTCAATTTCAGCTACTCCTACTTTGCCTCAGATATCCTCATTCCTAACTTTATCCTTTATCATGTGCCCACATATCTAACGAAGCATCTTCATCTCCACTACACCCATTTTATGTATGTGTTGATGCTTCACCGCCCAACATTTCATGCCATATAGCATCGCCGCCCTTATTGCCGTCCTATAAAATTTTCCATTGAGCGTCTGTGTCATACGGCGGTCACACAACACGATGGATGCACTCTTCCACTTCATCCATCCAACTTGTATTCTATGCTTAAGGTCTCCATCTAATTCTCCGTTCTTTTGCAAGATAGATTCTAGGTAGCGAAAGCGGTCGCTTTTTGGTACTTCCTGATCTCCGATCCTCACCCCTAACGCATTTGGGCCTCCATTTGCAGTGAACTTGCACTCCATATATTCTATCTTTGATCGACTTAGGCAAAGACCTTTAGATTCCAACACTTCTCTCCAAAGATTAAGCTTCGCATTTACCCCTTCCTGTGTTTCATCTATCAGCACTATATCGTCTACGAAAAGCATACACCAAGGAATTATGCAGACTATCCTAATTTAATATTAGGCTAATAGCCAAAATGGTCCCTTAGATTTGCATAACTCATCACTTTGGTCCCTAACATTTCAAATCGATAAAAGTGGTCCCTGAGATTGTCCACCATCCATCATTTTGGTCATTCCGTTAAAAACTCCGTTAAGTATCCCGAAGCTCCTGGCCGGAAGTTTGGGCAATTTCAAAGCTTCGTAACTCAATTGTTTCTTAACTAAATTTGACCCATAATGTATCAAAATGAAGATAGGAAAGTATAGAATAAGATTATACCTATTTGGAAGCCCAATGGCTGCCGAAGATGGCCGAAAAATAGCCTCAAAGATGACTGGTCCGAGGAAAAACTGGAAATCTCGCCAGAAACTGGGTAAACTTTAAACGTTCATAACTTCTTCAATACTAAACGTTTAAAGTTTACCCAGTTTCCGGTGAGTTTTCCAATTTTCCTTCGGACCAGTCAACTTTGAGGCTATTTTCTGGCCATCTATGGTAGCCATTGGGCTTTCAAATAGGTATAATCTTATTCTACACTTTCCTATCTTCATTTTGATACATTATGGGTCAAATTTGTTAAGAAACGATTGAGTTACGAATCTTTGAAAATTACCCATACTTCCGGCCATGGGCTTCGGGATACTTAATAAAGTTTTTAACGGAATGACCAAAATGATGGATGGTGGACAATCTCAGAGACTACTTTTATGGATTTGAAATGTTAGGGACAAAAGTAATGAATTATGCAAATCTCATGGACCATTTTGGCTATTTAGCCTTACTATTATGAACATTTTAACCTAAAAATATTTAGGTTTCGATATATATTGAAAAATATTAAATCAACACTATAAAACTCGTGAAACACTATGAAAGAATATAAAATATATGAAAGAATTTTTTTATTATTTTAATCATTAAATTTAAATTTGGACCGTTAGACTTGAAATTTTTGCTTTAACTGGTGGTAGGTATAAAGAAAAAGAAAAAAAAAAAGGAAAACTAATCAAAAGCTCTTAAAAATTTTCAATTTTAATAATGACAAAATAAAAAGTAAAATAAATAGTATCAGAATTAATATTTTTAATGTAAAAATATGATTTTTTTGTTACAATAAATAGTACTAGAATTTTTCGTTAAAGTTTCAAAAAAAAAAAAAAAAAAAAAAAACAAACAGGGTTAAAGAACCACCGCCGCCTAGGCTAAATTAAACGGAATCGAAAAAGACAATGGGTGGTACACAGATAGTTATTCTCATTTCTTTACTCCCCAAAGAATATGGCCAAACCCCTCTTCTCCATCACCGTCTCCAAGGTAACAACCTCCTCCTCTCCTCTCCTCTCCTCTGTGTATTGTGTGTGTATATGTACATATAATATTCTGTGACTAATTGAGATTTGGATGGTTTTGTTAGCATTTAGACTGAAATGAGCGGGTCGTCGGTGGGCAATGAAGGTCACGCGCCGCTCTTCACAGTGGCGCAATGGGCTGAGATGGAGAATCAAGCTTTGATATTCAAGTATCTCAAGGCAGGACTCCCTGTTCCTTCTGAACTCCTCGCCCCTATTCGCACCAGTTTCAATCTCATTTCCCCCAATTTCTTACGCCACCACCCCACCTGTAATTCTCCTCCAAATTTCCATCATTTTTTTGTTCTTATTATCGATTTGATTCGTTCTAATTCCAGAATTACTCGGCAACTGTTGTTGTGATATGCATGTTGTATTGTTGTATCTTTTGGATTTTCGGTATAGATAGATGACTCTCGTTGATGTGATTGTAGTGGCTTCCTATAGCCGGAAGAACATGGACCCGGAGCCAGGGCGGTGCCGGAGGACGGATGGCAAGAAATGGAGGTGCTCCAAAGATGCACATCCGGAGTCCAAGTATTGCGAGCGGCACATGAACCGAGGCCGTTATCGTTCAAGAAAGCTTGTGGAATCACAAACTTCCTCTCAATCTTTGTCGACTGTGACGTCAGACAGTGTGATTGGGATCTGCAGCCACAGTGGGAGCTTCCAGAGCATGCCCTTACACTCAATGGGAAATAGTGGAGCTCTATGCTTTGGAAGCAATGCATCTGAGTTGAAGATGGAGAGTATACCATATGGGGTATCTAACAGGGGAACCAGGTATATCCATTATGCTACTTTTGTATTGGTAGAATGTCTCATGAGTTTGCGCTGCAATCCTATTATTCCTATAGGAAGAGAAGCCTTTCTCCTGCATAATCTATGTCGAATTGCTTATTTCCCGAATAACACTGATCAAGGCCTAAGATGTGAAAGGTTATCCAATCCCTCTGATGCTACAGGTGGGGATTTAAATAGAGAGGCTTTAGGATAATCACCTTAGAGATATAGAAAGTAGAAACACAGGACCAGGAAAGCCTTATATGCTTATTTGGGGAGCGATGGGTTGTATATTTGATTGCTAAGGGCTTTACTTGTTAGTTTTTAACATCAAATTTAGGGGCTTAACTGAAAATTTTAAGAAGGTTAGGGTCCGTTGATCACCTTTTGGTTTTTAGTTTTTAGTTTTTACTTTTTGTGCTTGAGATATGAGGAAAGTATATGGGGAAAAGCAGTGTTGAAGAAGGATGGAGAGAGGAAGAGGAAGAAATAATGAAAGATGGAAGAAAACAGAATCTTGAAAGTGAAAAAAAAACTTAAAGTAGCTTTTGGTTTATTATTTTTAGTTTTTAATTTGTCTTCCTTCCTTCTTTACATCCTCTCCTACTATTCTCATTTCCACCATTTACTTTCCCCATATCTTAAGCACAAGAAGTAAAAACGTAAAATTATAAACCAAATGGTTATCAAACAGGCCCTTTCATTTTATCATAAGGTTATACCAATATGTCCAAGTTGGCATCGTTGAGAAACCTTATGTGTCCCATATACTTGTAAGTCATTAACATCAAATTGATGCTTGAAAATTATTAGAAGGCTAGGGTCCTTTTGATCATCATTTGGTTTTCAGCTTTTAATTTTAACTTTTTGTGATTGAAATATGGGAAAGTATATGGGCAAATGGATCGAGGAAGAGGATGGAGAGAGGAAGGGGAAATAAATAAAGATGGTTGGAAACAAATCTTGATGAAAACAATTTAAAATAGCTTTTGGTTTTTAGTTTTTATCTTGTCTCTTTTCCTTGTACATTTCTTTACATCCTTCCCTACTCTTCCTCATTTTCACAATATACTTTCCCATATCTGAAGCACAAGAAGTAAAAGTTGAGAATTATAAACCAATGAGTTACCAAACGGGCCCTTACCTTTTATCATAAGGTAAAGCCAATATGTCCAATTTGGCATGATGAAAGATCCTTATGTGTTCCATATAATTGTAAATTCATTAACATCAAATGGATGCTTGAAAATTATAATAAGGCTAGGGTCCGTTTGATAACCATTTGGTTTTTAGTTTTTAGTTTTTGTGTTGGAGATATGGGGAAAAGAAGTGACGAAGAAGGATGGAGATAGGAAGGGAAAGAAGTAAAGAAAGATGGATGAAAAACAAAATCTTGAAAGTGAAATCAACAAAAAATGGCTTTTAGTTTTTATTTTTTCTCCTTTCCTTCTACATTTCTTTACATCCTTCCTTACTCTTCCTCATTTCCACCATATATTTTCCCATATCTTAAGCACAAGAAGTAAAAACTGAAAACTAAGAATTAAATGGCTATTAAAGGGGCCTTACTTTTCATCATTAGGTTATCCCAATATGTCCAATTTGGCATGTTGGAGAATCCATACGTGAATATAATATTTCACGTGACCGAACGTATATAAATAAGGATTCTTTTTTTCATGTTTTAAGTTGTGTGCATTCATGTTTGTTTATTTACCCCATGACTCTCAAGTTAGCAAGATAAATTTGTTGAAGAATGATAATGCGTACATGTGAATTGAGGAGCAAGGACATTTAAATTATATTTGCGTTAGGAATTTATCTTCCTCTGAATTTCAAAATGAATGGATTTAAATTGGGAAATTATTAAAATTGTTTGGTTAGCCCTTTGCCAAATGGCATATTTTAGCAATTCTTGGGTGATATTGGGTGGCTGTAACGGCAACTGACTTGTTTTCTGATGTTTGTACCATTTACACCTGTTCGACCACTTAGGCATCTCCAAATTGAATTTCACCAGAACTCATTATCCATATTGTTCATAATCATTTACCCATTAGTTTCATTACTGTTATTTGATGAAAAATTAGAAAGAGGAGAAGCATCGACATTGTCGTTGATAAGAATTTAGCCTAATTTAGGTTCATTAGGTTAAATTAAGGTCTAGCTGTTCAATTTGCTAAATTCGAGGTTTATTGTTGATTACCTTAATTTGCATGATTAACTCAATTCAAGGAGAATCTTTAGGGCAGATTTATGTCTTGGTGTCTTACAAACACCCATGTACTCTTTTGATAATTAGTGCAATACAATGTGCATCTCTTCTATTTTTCTTTCTTGTTGTGTGAACTTTCCTGTCCTACATCAATATATCCATCAATACAAAGATGTCTTGAAGGTGACTTCGACCGTGTTTGTAGTACGTTGGAATGTGTATCACTCCATTCATGTGACGAACTCATGGGTACATTATAAATTTACTTACAACACTATTGGCATAAAGTATTTGGTCAGGTAGATTAGTTTACCTGCAAGCTGACTATACATTGGAGGATCGTCCACTAAGTAACTGGCATCATAGTACAGAGACCACTCCATTGGATAACCAGAGCTTACCCAATAAAGCCTGTGCCTCTAGAATGCCAAGGACATTTTTCTTTTGAGACATGTAAATACTTGTTAAACTGCATGAAACTGTGTGCAAAGCCTCATAAAAAAGTCTCTCCACTAGTGTTGCAGCAGCCCTGGCATCCTAGGCCATGATTACTTAAATAACTATTAAATCCTTGCTTTCTAAAGTAGTTAAAAGCTCACATGAGCACTTAAAAACTAGGAGTAAAACGATCATCTACCAAACTAAATAACATGCAATTCAAAATAGAGAAGGAAATTATAGGGAAACAACTAAGGCCCTAAACTAGGTACAAGCAAAACTAGAGCCAAGTTGGTTATCTGATTACTAGTCCCTGAGAGAAGCTCCTGCACCAATTTGTTGAAGCTAGACAGATCTTAGATGCGGTCTCACTTGCAAATAAAATGGTGCGGCATATTGATTTGGATTCTTACATGTTTTTGGCTAGGAAAGTTTTGAGAGTAGCTGGAGATGATGTGTTTGAAATTCTTCTGTTTTGAGGATGCTTCTTGTAGAGATGCTAAGAGTTTTCATCATGTCTTTCTGCATCGCCCTTTAGCTAATAGGTTTTAGAGAAGTTTCATGTGGTTGGTATTGGGGGTACTGCAAGATTGTTATTCCCTGTTAGCAGGTTCTTTAGGGGTTAGTGCGAAGATGGCTGCCACGTTTGGGTGCTTTGCTTTTGTGAAAATTGTTTATTTAGGCAGAAGAAGCTATAGGACTTTTGAAGATAAGTGGAATGAGATGAATTTTCTAATAGGGTTGCAGCAGATTTTTGGTTGATCTTGATTTGAGAGTGTGTGATGTGTTATTTGCTGGGTTGCTTCTGCTTGATTTTTGTTTTTGTGTTATCTGATGAGTAATCGTTTTAAATACGGAATTAGAGGTGCAATTGCAATGGACAAGCTGTCCACTAACAGCAAAGAGAGACCAGTCCATATTTTACACAGTATAATCCAGTATAATCTGTACACAACACATTCTTGCAATGGCATATTATGGTCCTTTGATTTCTGTTATTTTTTCTGAGATGGACTTATTCGTTGTTTCCTCTACATTTTTCCATTTTTAAGTTTTGCTTCTTGTGTAAATAAAAGTTATTGGATCAAAATAACAAATTTATTGAATATTGGGTTAAAATTAAGATTTTTGTATCATTATGGTATTGATACATATCAATGGTTTGCTGATGGATAAATTGTTTTTAGACCTTAGCTGGGTTAATTTCTTAAAATGCATCCATGACACTACTTTAGTTTAGGCTTTGATACACCATCTTTGGTTATCATTTTTAATCATCATTTGTTTTTGGGTTTCCTTTCTTGGTCTCCTAAGTATTGATTGATAAGCTTTTAGACCTTAGCTTGGATAATTTCTTAAATTACATCTACAACGTGAAATCTAGCTCTACCATGTTTGGTTAAAATTGTAATCATTGTTTGTTCTTTCAATTTTATTTTTCTGGTTTCCTATGTTACAAATTTTGTGAAAATTTCTTGTCTGTTGCAATCTAGTTATCAAGAAAACAAGATAGAACAACAAATTGCAAGCATTGATTACCAAGTTAAGCTGGTTTACCCAAAGCATAAAGGGGGAAGGAGGGAATGATCCTTTCCTTTGTTTGTCAGAAGGAAATATACAGGACTAGAATAAGTGAAATGAGGGTCCAAAAGTGGAAGATTTCAGGAACACAATATACATACATACATACATATATATATACTAATACTAATAGCCGACCCCACTTAGTGGGAAAAGGCTTTGTTGTTGTTGTTGTTGATTGTTTTGTGCATTATACTAATAGTAAACAAAGAGACATTTTTTTTTTTTTTTGTTTTGTTTTTCTTTTGTTGGTGCTTGAAGAAAAGTAATTTACGATATGCAGTTAGAAATCGATTTTAAGACATGTTATGAATTTACTGTTAATCGTTTCGGACATCGTTTTAGGAACCAAAGGGGTGTGCTAATTTTATGCAAATGCAGGGGCTGCAATGGATCAGAAGAACATAATTTCGTGTCAGAAGCTAGGAGTGCGAGGTGTCTTCGGGCAGACAGTAATGTAGATAATCCGTGGCTTCTAATGGCGCCTCAAGTTCCCTTGAAATTAGAACCGAGAAATAGTTCTCTTTGGCTAAACAACAGCTCTCATCTACAGACATTACAAAATATGGAGCCATTGAGCGTTAATGCTGAAATCACCAAACATGAGTATGTTGGTGAAGAGTTTGGCTTACCAGGATCTCAAAAACACGAACAGCATTCTCTTCAACCTTTCTTTGACGAGTGGCCTAAGTCAAAGGATCTGGGGTTCCATCAAAATGATCATAGATCAAACATAACTGAATTGTCAATGTCTAATGCAACGGTTCCTGCTAAATTTTTCCTAAGGAGCGCTGAATCACCCCGTGGTATGTTATTATTTTCATCTATAACATCTTGTAGACACACTTGATCCCCGTAACCAAGGAAAGTTTTGACATTTGATTTACGTGTTGATGCAGATGCCTATACTTGAACCCGGGAGCTGACATGTGTGCTTTCTCGTGGATGTCCGGGTACTTGCGAAGTTCCTGCTTGTCTGTAATTTAGACGTCATTATTTCTGGGGTTTCTTAGGCTAGTATTTTCCACTTGACCATTATGGTTATACGTTTCGTGGAGCGTAAGAATGTGTTATCTACTCTTATATGTCAGCATACTGTGGAGATATTGCTAGGAAGCGATATCCAATGTTGTTGTTCTGTCTGTATTTTGTTTGCAGTTCCACGACTGCTATGGATTTCATAGTCACCCAGTATGTTTTTGGTTTTTTTTTTTTTTTTTTCTGGAGTGACGTATGGTCTCTTCATTAACACGTACATAACTAGTTTTTCAGTTGCCTTCGTACCTTGGGTCAGCCGTCAGCCGTCGTCGCATAATAATCAGCAGTCACTAGGAGAAATATGAACATGCAGTAAGTTGGCAACAAAACAATCCCCAGCCGTTGATCATGAATCATCTTTGTGAAGACAAAACTTGTTCCTCCTACTTGGAACGGTACTCGAACGACATTGCCTTAAACTGGGTGTAGTCAAATTAGGATTTGATAGGACTTGATAGTATTTTAAGGGGGCATTTGTTGCGCCGGACTGTCTCGGATTGGACTAGTTGCAGGGACTAAGCTGGACTGGCTTAGACTAGACTAAGCTGGACTAACTTAGTGAAGCGTTTGGTACAGTGTCGGACTAAGAAGCAGGATAATAAAAACATTACTGTTCATCAGATTTGTGTTTGCTTACACTAGGACTACAAATTTTTGTCATTGTGTAATAAAGTAATGCTACAAATGTCATGAGAAGATACTTGTGTAATAGAGTAATCCTAAACTTTATGCAATAAAATCGAACATTAACTAATGATAGTTTTCTTGGATTATAGAGTTTAAGAAAACGGAACTCATATTAGATATTTGTCTGAAGCAAGTAAAATTGCCATGAAAAATGTCACTTAAGTTCTTCACGTGCATGATATATGGTGTTCTGGTTCTCTGTTGGGTGAAGATGACTAGGATCCAATGGTGGTAGGGTTTTGAAGGAAGGGGAAACGTGAGTAGTAATACTTTGGTTTCAAGAATCCTCCAAGTGTACCCAACAAACCTTGCTCAAAAGAAAAGAAGATAGAAAAGCATGGTAATTAAACAAGCTATACGAATCCGCCTCTTTTTCCATGTGGCATAATTCATAGCTGACTAGCTTAACAAGCAAGAGCAAGTACATAAGAAGATACTTGTGACAAGTCAATCTTTGCCATTGATTGACTCTTAAAACATCATTCACTAAACTTTCATCCAGAATATTTTACAAAATACCAGTGAACTATAGTATACCATTCAAAAGTAGATCTCCATAATTTACAAACTCCTAGTTAACATTAGCCAAAATACTTCATAGTGGAAAGCTAAGTTATAAGTCATAACCTAAGATTGTACGATTAATAAAATACATCCATATCAAAAGACACCACATAATATACTCATCCGCTTGCTTTGTCGCTTAAAAGCCTTTGGACAAACACTTTCTTGAGTTCCGGTTTGATTGCCCTGAACACTCCCACATTTTTTGGTTTATCCAAAATAAGAGACAATGCATCAATTTGATCCATAGGAGAAAGACCCATTTTTTCAAGTTCGTTAGCTATGTCACTATGATCTGCAGTACCTTGAACTAAAGCTTCAGTTACCATTTGCATCCTCTTCCCACTTTCAACATAAAATTCTTTCAATCCACTGATAATTGCCTCAGTTCCATCACTTGAACTTCCCACACCTCTTTTCCTCTTTCGTTGGCTATTTTCAGATGGGATGCTTTGTTGGCTTTGTTCGTTCATTGAAGAAACAGCATTTTCACCTCCAATATCATTTGCACCAACCTGATCATGACTTTGTTCCTCCACCATTTCAGCAGGGGTTTCGGCTACATTACCCGTAGCCCGATCTTTTCCAAATATATATGCAAATCTATCATACAGTGGAAAAGGTTTGCTTCTCCATCCATCGGCTTCTTTATTTTTCTAAGATTATATCAACATAGAAAAACTAAAATTTAGCATGCGTAACAAATATAGCAGCAAGAACAAAACTAATGTATAAATAAAATAGGATATGAACCTGCACATAAGTTTGCCATGCGTCATCACTGTCAACTTCAACGCACTTTTTGACATCATTCCATGCAAATCCACTTGTGTTTATCATGTCAACGACCATACTATATGTTTTTTTCCATTTCTTCAACTTTGACTCAATATGTGGAGTTGCCTTTATATTGGAATGAGGACATAAAACATTGACAGCTTTCGCTATTTCAATCAAAGTACCTTGTTTGAAAGCACTGGTGTCACACCGTTGCTTCCGAGCAACAAAATCCTCAAGAACGGATAGTAATACTTCTTCCTCAAATGCTTCCCATTTACGCCTTCTTCCTTTTGGCTCTTGAGTAGCATTCAAAATATTGTCTTTATCCATACCTAAACAAAAAATATTTGAATGTACTAAAATACAATACAAATAATCAATTTGCATAATATCCAAATAATTTGCATACCATCCAATCAATAAAAAAGTTTTAACATTCACTGATGAGCAATCTAATAATTATGCTAATATCCAACAAATGCATGATAAAAAGGAATACTAAAATAAAATGTTATCATTAACACATATAGCTAGTTCGGTTGCTGATTCCTAATTGCTCTCCACTCATTATACATTTCCTGAGCCATGGCATTCCTCTTTGCAGTCCACTGGTCAGATGTTTCAACACTACCAACATAATCACCTTCTTCTGTATTTTGTCCATCTTGTATTATTGGCAAATTTTCCAGTGGATCTATAGACATCTCTTGCCTAATAAGATTGTGTAGTAGGCAACAAGCGGTAATTATTCGACCTTGTGTCCTTATCGGATAGAAAGATGGACTTCTTAGTATCGACCACCTTCCTTTTAGCAAGCCAAAACAACGTTCAATTACATTCCTTGCCTTAGAATGCTTCATGTTAAAATACTCTTCCTTATTAGAAGGCGTTCGTCCCTCCCATTCAGATAAATGATAAGGTATTCCTCTATAGGGTGCAAGGAATCCTTCACCATTTGTATAACCACCATCTACAAGGTAATAATAACTTAATAAAAAAAAAGCGTTATTAGTGTTTTGTAGTTGACAAACAAAACTAGACCTAACTTACAAAGTTGAGACTAACTAATACTCTTACCCGTTGGTACCTTAAAACCATTAGGCCTAGTAATTGCATCATGTAGCACTCTAGAGTCTGATGCGGAACCCTCCCACCCCGGAAACACATATATGAACTGCATATCTCCTCAACACACACCTAACACATTAGTTGCGACTCGACCCTTTCTTGTTCGGTATCTTGGTTTGTCAATTTCATGTACATGCACATCAATGTGTGTTCCATCTATTGCTCCCAAGCAATTCTAAAAAAAAACAAAATTAAGCTTTTGTTAATTTATACAAAGGGAATGAAGAGTTAAAGCTTAGGGAAAATGAAAAAAAATTATCATACCTTAAAACATCGCCACCTAGGATCTGTAGAATCAATAGGCACAGGCTGAGGGACTTTTAGTAGGATACCTTGTAATTGAAGGATTATTTTGTGAAAACATGTTCATTTGAATAACATCATATAGCATGCAATTAACAATTAAAGTTGAGTACTTAATGAATTAGATTACTTCATCATATGTTTAAAGATGATATGTTTAAAGATGATATGGCAGGGGGTTTTAAGCATCGTTATATTCTAAACAGTTAACACTACCATATCATCTCTACTATAAAGACAATCAATTAGATTACTATAATCCAATCATTGATTTAATAAAGAACAATGTTTTGTCAAACAAAACATTCATCCATTGATAGGAGCATATTTATACGACTTAGTTAGCTTGTTTTCTTGCTTTAATTAGCTAAACTATGATAATTATAGTGTTTAAAGTTATTTTCGTGCAATTTCAGGTTTTAGTGTCAAAATATGCAAAAAGAAGCAATTTGGAACATTCTAGAGCATTTTTGGGCCAAGATTGGATTGTGCAAGCATGGAGGCATGAGGATGGACGAATTTGAAGACAAAAGAGGCTATGAACATGCTAAAAATCTGGTGAAACAAATACAAGTTGCAAGAAGGGATAAATTTCTAGAAGGATTGACCAAAACTTCACTCAAAACCAAGAAATTCTTCAATGCCGTGGGCATTGATTCACTTTCACCAGAAATTTGAGTGATGATGCAATGCTTAAATCACCATGACATGTGAGTGGATGATGCAATGCTTAACTCACCATGACATGTGAATGGATGACTCAATACCTAACCCACCAACAATTCCCACTCTTTGCCTTGCTCACCTACTCAATTCCACCAGAATTTTGTGTTAACAAGTCCATCCTTTTCCTATAAATACCATGGCAGCAACCTCATTCAAATCATCCAGAAATTAACCATTCTCCAAGCCTTTCCTTGCCTCTCCTACATATCTAAACCCCTTCCCATCCATTCCTCCAAATAACCAACCCTTCAACATCATTCCAACCTTGTTGTTGCGGCAAGGAGAAGGAGAAAAGTCCTTGGACGCGCTTGCTATCCAACATGGATCGTTGGAACGTTTAGGTGCTTTCTTCCCTTTGTTTTTCAATGGTTAAATTTGTTTATCTTTGTTTTGTAATAATGAGGAACTAAACCCCCCTTGGCTAGGGGGGGGATTCGAAACCATGTTAATGCTTGCAATATGATTTGATTACTTTTAATTGCGTTTCATAAGTTATGAATTCGATTTACTTATCTATTTGATTGATAACATGTTTATGTATGTTGATTAGGGATGCATACTTAGTTTGCATGCATAAATATGATGCTAGAGTATAAGGGAATTTCACCTAATCGTTATGAACTTATATTCATAAGTAGTAAAAGTCGCTAGTCACGATTGTGTTAAGTAAATCCTTGGCAAGAGTAACATGCGTATTCCATAGTTATGAATGCCTCGTCAATGCTTATGATTTCCATTGAACTTAATGATCTTTGATATGTGTCTCTATCATGCATATTCCATAGTTAGGGTCCTTGATAAGAATAATTTGGTTGTAATGCGTATTCCATTCAATTCAATGAGCCTAGGGAAATCTGAGAATTAATTTATGCAATTCATGGTTAATTTGGGGCGTTGAGAATTAATAAGTTATTGAAATGCAATTGGAAATCATTTTGTATGCAAGCAAGACATGTGTGGAGAAGAACCCCTTAGCTAGCCTTCCATTATCCATTCAACCCAAATTTGTTTAAAATCTATTTAAGTTTTTAGTTTATTCGTTTTTACTTTCAA